AATTAAGGTCTGTTGGTTCGTTCCGTAGCTCAGTTGATAGAGCATTAGACACGGTTTATTGGCGCTGGTTCGAATCCAGCCGCATCGATGACATTTTTCTTAGTGTTTGATTTTTGTATTAATAATTATAACAAACTAGTGGAGCAGTTTATCAAAACAATAATTGAATACCATGATAGTAAAACAACGTGATATTGAATAAACTTAATATAATAATAATAATAACTTTATCGTCAGCTATATAAATTTGTAAACAAATCATGAAAATAAATGAAATAGAGTAAACTGAATTGAAATATGTGGATTGTTATTAAGATTATATTTACAGCTATTTTATAGCAGTTATGACTTTAGACAATTTGTTACATTTTTATTGACTTCGTAATGGAAAAGAGAGTAAGTTATTTATTTTATTATAGAGGTGTTGTATAAACATTACCTGAGAGCACGGAACTGTCGATTTATTTATTTATTTTACCTTTATTGCTTAATAAAGAAATGTATTGACATCCCTGTACAAACGACAGACTTAACGCAATAAGGCATTCTCTGCCGTAAAAAATACGCCCGAAATAGAGAAAACAACAATACTTTGGTGCAGCACTTCAAAACCAATCCAAAATTTTACAATAAATAAATATGGCATAAAATAAATATAATATAACATAAAAAACTTTACATAGATACATAATAAACATACGTGTGTAAATATAGTAAAATATGTATAAATATTCCCTCTGCACCATTGAGTCTCGAATATTGTTAGGGAATCGTTGCGCTTTTGGGCCGTGCTTGTCTTAAATTGTTCCACTTTGTGTAAGCGTTCTAAAGATGAATTGAATGAAGGGTATAAGAATTACACAAAAAAACTAGTGCGGTGGGAAGTAATAGAGCGTTTAAGGCTACGGGATGTTCGAAGTTCGCACCCCAGCTGATCGATGTGAAATTGAAATGTACATTTAAGGTAATTAAGTGCAGCAGTGTGGAACAAAATGGAGAAAGGAGTAGTTAATTTTTTTTGAACTTATGTTCATGGACGGGAAGCCAATATAGCTGATGACATACTTTTGCATCCAAAAATGAACCCAATACGGTTATTAATAAAAAAGGGGCCAGCCTGTTCAAACAGACTTGAAAAATGTAGCTGTAATACATGTCAGCATAGTTGACGGTAGGCAACACTAAAAAACCTGAATTAGGAGAGTTTTGGTGTTGATAGGAAGAAAGTGCTTAAACTTGTATATTACTATCTTAGTGTGTTGGTACCCTACGACAAAGTTTGGACACCTGGAGATCCCACGTTGTGGCAAATATAACTACATTTACGTTTTCAGAGAATAGTAGGTATGGTAGGCTCAGTATAGGTATGCAGTCTTACTTAATTAGAAAAAGAAAAAAGATTTTACAGGTGTACAAGTTAGTAGCGATCAAATGTAGACTTAAAATTGTAAATGTTAAGAAAGATCAGTATCAAAAGACTTTGATTGTTTTTGAAATAGTTGACATTCATTTAATGGTCCCTGGAAAAGTCATGTGATTGTTGTTCACAATGTGGAAAAAGAAAAATTCAGGTAACTTACGAACCTGAAATATCTTACATGGAAATCATTCATCATTCATATTTCAGCCAGCATTTGCGTGTTTTTTTCACAAACAACTGAAAGTTTGTTATAATTATTAATACAAAGTTCGAAAACGTAGAAAAAAATTATTCGATCCGGTCGGATTCGAACCGACGTCTCCCGTCCCAGACGCTATGCCAACTAAACCACGGAACGAACCAGCGGACAAATTTTTCAAGTTAAACATTCTTTTTTCTTAAAATTCTTCACAAATGAGTCTTAATATACTTCACTACGATCACTTGTATGTCTACATCTCGTCTGTCTGACAGACAGAACTATGATATTGGTGTACATAATATAGTGAACGTGTGTAACGATAAGGCTTTTTAAGAAAACTTTTATGACAGCCCTTTGCGCTCTTTCGAATGTCAGCACAGTTGTTTCTGACGTACCACCCCAAACTTTACAGTGATCGTAAATGAGCAAAGACACACATGGGCAGAATAAATTATATAGAGGGTGTCAGCATTAGCTACTTGCCGCAAGTTTTTGAAGACGTATATGAGTTTACGAACTCGTGTTGCTGAGAATTAACGTGATTTCGCCAGCTGAGGGTTTGGTCTATAATGATATGATAAGTAGAGTTATGCCTCGTAGTTTCATAGGTATGACCTTTAATAAAAAATGTATCAGAGGGTGGGACGGAAGCCCGTTGGAGCATGAAAGGGACAAAAAAGGTTTTCATCGAGTAAATAATGAGTAAACTGGTGATCAGCCTTCTCATTCCAGCAATAAAAGCATTCTCCACAGTACATTAGCCCCAGTACACGCACTTGAGCCCTTGTAGTCCCATGCATTATTGAGACAGTGTCATCAGCTTAAGTGATGACAATGCAATTTAGAAGTTAAAGTTGTCACAGGTCACTGATGTACCCAATAAACGGGGTAGGTCCAAGAATGTAGTCTTGCGGAATGCCATTGAAAGCTGCTCATCATCATTAACATTATTACCGATTTTTACAGACGGAAGCCCCCCTGGGGCCTTACTATGAACTCTTATTACAGTTCAGTATAGGTTCGTAACGACAAAAAAAAAAACGAGATGGTGATATACACTTCATGAAGCGCCGTCACACGATTCATTTTAATTCCTAAACTGAATCGTAATAAGAGTTCATGGTAAGGCCCCTGATTCCTTTTGTTTCTAATTTAGATAAGGGTAAATAAATCATGTCGAGGCTTTCCTTCTTTGTCAAGGTGGTTATATAATGTCGTTATAAATCTGGTACCCCCTGTGGACGAATGTGACAAATATTTTTTTTACTGCATCGATAACGAAATGTTATAAATGTCCGTCCAATTCGTGTAACTCTACAGATAATATTGACTAAATTATGACCAAAATACTTTTTTTCATTTATTATATAATGTTTTTGGTTACTGTTTGGGTACTTAGAACTACGATTGTTTAGTAAAAGCTGATATGTTTCATTAATAACAGTGTTGATCGTCCTGGAAAGTAGTGAAAAAATTATGTTTTTCTTCTACTAGACTTATAATATTTGTATGTATAAAAATTATACACACATATATATATATATATACATATATAGACATGTGAAGTAATATTAACAAATAGTACAAGCAGTTTAAGAACAAACAACGAGTGTAGTGTGCATGGCTAAATATAAATTTATTATTATTCCATTATAAACCAAGATTTCAAGAAAAATGCAAAAAAATACTCTAACCTATGTTGATATTTTTCCATCGAGCTGTATAGGTGGTGACTAGGGGTAGTGGGGGTGAGCGACCCCTGTTTAAACTTGATTGACCCCGCTCCACTGAAGATAAAGCTTAACACCGCCGCGGTTATCCCGCTGGCGCTAATTAATTTAATGCAAATTTTATAATGCAATTCTGTTTAATTGTACAAAGAAAGGCGATAAACTTAGTATATTAGTATCAGTAGAACTATTTGTTATAATTACTTATAATTCTATTATAAGTAGTTATAAAATATTATTTCCCTAAAAAGATTAATTTTATTCAACCATAACACTGAACAACAACTTTATGTTGTTACGCATGTTAGTTTTTACGAGAGAACGGAAGCAGGCACTTAGCGAAGAAACATACACGGCGCGATGCGAAAGGCGTGACATAAGGAAGAGGAGGCTACGGGCGGCGGGCAGGGTGTCGAGGCCTCAATTCCGTAGTGCATTGCAGTGCATCCTGCCCCCTGCAAGCAGTGCGGAAGTGAGGCTGAGACACCCCATAGCGTCACCTCAAGACATCGTGTCCGAGAAGAATTGAGAGCATTTTTCACAAGATTTATTGGTATTGTGATTTTTGTTGTGTAAACTGAGGACGAGACTCCGATCACTATACTTCCAGTAGCACAATAGCATTTCTGTCACTGATTTTTTTATATGTATTTCCTTATGATCGTGTCCTGCCTATTCTTTTCTTGTTTTCGTCCAATAAAGTCCATTGCTGACATGATAATAATTTATTATTTCAGCTAATCTCACGGTTAGTGGTTTGTGGCAGTTTGTCAAATTATTTCTAGATACGTTTGTCATTGATATATGGAAGTAATTTGTTGCCGACTGTCGCAATGCGACTTTCTGTTTCGGTAAATTTGTTAGAATTTTGCTTCTGCGTATGTTAAATGCCTCTATAAGTGAATTCTTATAAATACACCTTTATTATATATATGTAGAAGGATAACAAAAGTCATTGAGATTCTCGAAATGTTTCAGAGTTTATTACGTCGCTAAAAGTACCTCCCACCTTTTATATTATTTTCTTATTTTTGATCTTAATCGAAAAAAACTTTGAGAATGAATGTTAATAATATTCGACCAGTATTATTCGTATAAGCGTATACAAAAGTTAGGGAAAAATATGTGTTCGATATTGATTTCCGTTCAACATAATTAGAATTCAATCTGTGCTTGTCACCAGCACTCGTTTGGAGAGAAACCTCCCTGCGCCTAATACCTCGAAGAATCGTCTTATTTGCAACACACAGTTTTTATAGGATTATTTTCTCATCGTGCCATACAATATTGGCAAAACAAAATTAAATGTCACCATGAAATATAAGTAAACATTGATTATTTTTTCGTCGACATTATTCTGAGTATTTTACATTCAATAACAACGAATACTTCTATTGGTAACAGAACACTCGAATCCATTTGACGTTTATTTCATTCTTCCCTCTGTATACAAATGTAAAGCACAAAAATTGTACAAATAATTCTTGTAACTTTCCATATTTTACCAACGAATTTGGAAGACGCAAAGAATCTTTGATTGCTGTTTTATTTTCATGGAGAAAATAAATCATAGGTTTATTGGTCCTCTGTTGTCGACGTATTTTAGCATATTGGCGAAAAATATTTTTTTTCTGTTTTGTTCATGTAGGGGGCGAAGGTGAGGGTGGAGGAGACGGAGTGCCGTGTCTGGTTTTCGTGCACGGGGAATCGTACGAGTGGAGCTCGGGCAACGCATACGACGGGACCCCGCTTGCCGCGCACGGCAGTGTTATTGTAGTCACTATCAATTTTAGGCTAGGTGTTTTGGGTAAGTAGTACTGGTAGCAGTATATTACATAAATAGGGTAAATTTTAAACCATTTATGGTAACAGTATACAACTGATCCTGTATTGGTAATGAAACGAACGATATGGCATCATGAGTGAACTTATGTACTATGTAATCTTTTTAACGAGTTTAATCTTGTTAACGAGTAATAAAGCACACTTTCCTCCGTTGTCGCTTGTACAATAAACACCTACATTGAATTATGTGATACGGATCACAGACACAAAAAAATTACAATAAGTTGTGTGTTTATAAAAGCTTTAACATTATATAAGAAGAAATTTGCTCTAAACTATGAGGATTAATCAAAACAAAGTAATTTGTTTTTCAAGAAATAGACAGAAATTGATAAGTTTTAATATGTATTAAATGACGATAAAGCTTTTAAGTACATGATCGGATTTTAGTGGTAAAAACATTAAATATTTTCTTCCACTCGTAACTTTATCGTATATTTATACATATACTACATTGATTCTTAGGTACTCCTCTTTTTGCCTTATCTAATATAGACTGTTATTAATAATTAGGTAAAGATCGAAAGAGAGATTGGTGCTGTTTATATTTTTACTGTATATACGTATATAGTCAAATAATTCTCGTAATTTGAAATAAAAAGCAATCCTAATTTATTTGGAAAACAATACGTACACCTCCGTGATCTAGTGCCTTACACACCGGTTTTCATGGTGTCGCCATTTCTAAGGTCCCGGGTTCGATTCTCGGACGGTTAGGTCAATATAAAAAACTACTCGTAACTTTTCTGTATAGTTTAGGGGCTGGGTATTTGTGCCGTTGTCTCCGATTACCATAACACAAGTACTTTAGGAAATGAAACTATTTTTCCGGATTTAAATCGCGTATATTTGTTT